CCACGGAAGTTGCCAATTTGGTTGAGTCCAAGAGTACGAGGCTGATGAGTTTGTTTGGTCGGTTTGGTGAATTGAAACTTACTTTGCCGCTACTTTTTCCTTGTGTGCAGCCTTGAACAAATATGCTGACGCTGGCAAGTACGGCGTTGGATTCTTTCAACCGGCTAATTGCGATAACATTAATGTCGAGTGCATTTTCACGCCGTACCCGGAGTACAAAAATCTCAAGGAAGCATACACAACCACCAAGAACTCGACTCTCAAACACGACAGCTACACGCCTACGCGTAATACAATTTTATCGTGTCCAAAGAAGATGTCGATTAAGTTACCACCGACACCCAAGGGTGAGTTATTGAGTTCTATCATTGAGTGTTCAAGTCTGGTTGAAATATCTTACCGTGTTAATATCCCTTGTGTTGTAACATTGTTGCAGTCCCGATTCTCGAATGCACGAGGGCGCAACCGGTGTGCAATGGCGTGAAGGCCAACAGCTACGAGCATCATGCACCGGCCCCAAAGCGGAAACCGTCGAATGACGAGGTCGGCACTATCTCTGCCACGGAAAAGAGTAGCAATGACGCTAGTACGACTTCTGCGGCTGCGCTTTTGTTGTCTGTGGCAGCGGTTGCTGTCACCGCCATGTCCGTCTTCTAGAGCGTATGACACACCTCTAAACGCCTTTTGTAGCGCACTTAGTTGTTCACAAAGTGGTTAAACTATACATGAAAATTAGTTGTCGGTCGTTTTGTTGAGCCTGTAGTCGACTTCGATCAATACCGCCTGTCCCCATTTCGAGCAAAATTCCACGTAAGAAACCTTCCAGTCAGTGTAATTTCGTCCGTGGAGGTGATAGTCATGAGGTTAAGTTTTCGTGCTCGAAACCTTTGTACTACGGTCACACTATGTGCTGCTGTCGCAATGTCACTTGCTGATGCGTGGCTGCCCCCGATCATCACCAAAGGCAACAAGTTTTTTGATTCCAAGACGGGTCTTGAATTCCGTATGAAAGGAATGGCCTACTACCCCCGTCCCAACAAAGGTAAATGGGCTGAAGTAGGTAACTACGACTGGGCAGCGGACAAGCATAAGGATGTGTGGAAGCCACATCTTGAAATTCTAAAGGATTTGGGTGTAAATACCATCCGTCTGTATTCGGTGGATCCAAGTCTTCCGCACGACGAGTTCATGTGTGCGTGTTCGGAAGCAGGCATTTACGTCTTAGTCGGCATCACTGCTCCGTAAGTATCTCGTAGGACTATGGCAGTTCTAGTTTGTTGGTTTGTTGGTGTCTGATAGTCCTTGCATCAATGTGACAGATGCAAAGACTGCTCGGTACTCGACTACTTGCCACCCAAGTGCTACCCCGACGAACTCCTCACCCGTGCACAAATGGTGTACAACGCGTTTGCCGTGTACGATAATACGCTGGGCTTCAGCGTGGGTAACGAAAACAATCTACAGGTGGAGAACGGAGCCGATGGCACTGCGACAGCTCCTTGTGTCAAGGCTTTCCTGCGTGACACTCGAAGTTATGCTGCGAGTTGTTCCGGGTCTGTACGTCAGGTGCCAATTGGTCTCGACATTGCCGACATTCCTCCTCGCGAGAAATGGATCGGGTACTATGATTGCGCTGTGGATGATGACGAGTACACGCGTGCTGAATGGTAAGCTGTTTGACACGTGATCATACTTTTGAGGCACAGATCACCTCATGTTTTTGCAATTGACAGGATGGGCTTCAACCCGTACGTCGAGTGCGATCCTAAGAACGCGGAGTACTCGCAATCAGCTGGTCTGAAGAAACTGATGAAGGAATACGCTCAGGTTGGCTATTCCCGTCCGCTAATGTTCGGCGAGTTTGGTTGCAACAAAGGTGTGAACACTATCGATGGCTACGAGAGTCAGCGAACGTTCAAAGATGTAAGCTTGCTTGCGTTTGATGTCAACGGCGGGTACAGGTGTTGTTAACCACATTATGTGCTCTGTTTTTTATATTTTTAGGCAAAGTGGATGAACGAGGAGACGGATATGACGAAAGAGATCGTGGGTGGGAATGTGTTCGAGTTCACCACGGAAGTTGCCAATCTGGTTGAGTCCAAGAGTACGAGGCTGATGAGTTTGTTTGGTCGGTTTGGTGAATTGAAACTTACTTTGCCGCTACTTTTTCCTTGTGTGCAGCCTTGAACAAATATGCTGACGCTGGCAAGTACGGCGTTGGATTCTTTCAACCGGCTAATTGCGATAACATTAATGTCGAGTGCATTTTCACGCCGTACCCGGAGTACAAAAATCTCAAGGAAGCATACACAACCACCAAGAACTCGACTCTCAAACACGACAGCTACACGCCTACGCGTAATACAATTTTATCGTGTCCAAAGAAGATGTCGATTAAGTTACCACCGACACCCAAGGGTGAGTTATTGAGTTCTATCATTGAGTGTTCAAGTCTGGTTGAAATATCTTACCGTGTTAATATCCCTTGTGTTGTAACATTGTTGCAGTCCCGATTCTCGAATGCACGAGGGCGCAACCGGTGTGCAATGGCGTGAAGGCCAACAGCTACGAGCATCATGCACCGGCCCCAAAGCGGAAACCGTCGAATGACGAGGTCGGCACTATCTCTGCCACGGAAAAGAGTAGCAATGACGCTAGTACGACTTCTGCGGCTGCGCTTTTGTTGTCTGTGGCAGCGGTTGCTGTCACCGCCATGTCCGTCTTCTAGAGCGTATGACACACCTCTAAACGCCTTTTGTAGCGCACTTAGTTGTTCACAAAGTGGTTAAACTATACATGAAAATTAGTTGTCGGTCGTTTTGTTGAGCCTGTAGTCGACTTCGATCAATACCGCCTGTCCCCATTTCGAGCAAAATTCCACGTAAGAAACCTTCCTGTCAGTGTAATTTCGTCCGTGGAGGTGATAGTCATGAGGTTAAGTTTTCGTGCTCGAAACCTTTGTACTACGGTCACACTATGTGCTGCTGTCGCAATGTCACTTGCTGATGCGTGGCTGCCCCCGATCATCACCAAAGGCAACAAGTTTTTTGATTCCAAGACGGGTCTTGAATTCCGTATGAAAGGAATGGCCTACTACCCCCGTCCCAACAAAGGTAAATGGGCTGAAGTAGGTAACTACGACTGGGCAGCGGACAAGCATAAGGATGTGTGGAAGCCACATCTTGAAATTCTAAAGGATTTGGGTGTAAATACCATCCGTCTGTATTCGGTGGATCCAAGTCTTCCGCACGACGAGTTCATGTGTGCGTGTTCGGAAGCAGGCATTTACGTCTTAGTCGGCATCACTGCTCCGTAAGTATCTCGTAGGACTATGGCAGTTCTAGTTTGTTGGTTTGTTGGTGTCTGATAGTCCTTGCATCAATGTGACAGATGCAAAGACTGCTCGGTACTCGACTACTTGCCACCCAAGTGCTACCCCGACGAACTCCTCACCCGTGCACAAATGGTGTACAACGCGTTTGCCGTGTACGATAATACGCTGGGCTTCAGCGTGGGTAACGAAAACAATCTACAGGTGGAGAACGGAGCCGATGGCACTGCGACAGCTCCTTGTGTCAAGGCTTTCCTGCGTGACACTCGAAGTTATGCTGCGAGTTGTTCCGGGTCTGTACGTCAGGTGCCAATTGGTCTCGACATTGCCGACATTCCTCCTCGCGAGAAATGGATCGGGTACTATGATTGCGCTGTGGATGATGACGAGTACACGCGTGCTGAATGGTAAGCTGTTTGACACGTGATCATACTTTTGAGGCACAGATCACCTCATGTTTTTGCAATTGACAGGATGGGCTTCAACCCGTACGTCGAGTGCGATCCTAAGAACGCGGAGTACTCGCAATCAGCTGGTCTGAAGAAACTGATGAAGGAATACGCTCAGGTTGGCTATTCCCGTCCGCTAATGTTCGGCGAGTTTGGTTGCAACAAAGGTGTGAACACTATCGATGGCTACGAGAGTCAGCGAACGTTCAAAGATGTAAGCTTGCTTGCGTTTGATGTCAACGGCGGGTACAGGTGTTGTTAACCACATTATGTGCTCTGTTTTTTATATTTTTAGGCAAAGTGGATGAACGAGGAGACGGATATGACGAAAGAGATCGTGGGTGGGAATGTGTTCGAGTTCACCACGGAAGTTGCCAATCTGGTTGAGTCCAAGAGTACGAGGCTGATGAGTTTGTTTGGTCGGTTTGGTGAATTGAAACTTACTTTGCCGCTACTTTTTCCTTGTGTGCAGCCTTGAACAAATATGCTGACGCTGGCAAGTACGGCGTTGGATTCTTTCAACCGGCTAATTGCGATAACATTAATGTCGAGTGCATTTTCACGCCGTACCCGGAGTACAAAAATCTCAAGGAAGCATACACAACCACCAAGAACTCGACTCTCAAACACGACAGCTACACGCCTACGCGTAATACAATTTTATCGTGTCCAAAGAAGATGTCGATTAAGTTACCACCGACACCCAAGGGTGAGTTATTGAGTTCTATCATTGAGTGTTCAAGTCTGGTTGAAATATCTTACCGTGTTAATATCCCTTGTGTTGTAACATTGTTGCAGTCCCGATTCTCGAATGCACGAGGGCGCAACCGGTGTGCAATGGCGTGAAGGCCAACAGCTACGAGCATCATGCACCGGCCCCAAAGCGGAAACCGTCGAATGACGAGGTCGGCACTATCTCTGCCACGGAAAAGAGTAGCAATGACGCTAGTACGACTTCTGCGGCTGCGCTTTTGTTGTCTGTGGCAGCGGTTGCTGTCACCGCCATGTCCGTCTTCTAGAGCGTATGACACACCTCTAAACGCCTTTTGTAGCGCACTTAGTTGTTCACAAAGTGGTTAAACTATACATGAAAATTAGTTGTCGGTCGTTTTGTTGAGCCTGTAGTCGACTTCGATCAATACCGCCTGTCCCCATTTCGAGCAAAATTCCACGTAAGAAACCTTCCTGTCAGTGTAATTTCGTCCGTGGAGGTGATAGTCATGAGGTTAAGTTTTCGTGCTCGAAACCTTTGTACTACGGTCACACTATGTGCTGCTGTCGCAATGTCACTTGCTGATGCGTGGCTGCCCCCGATCATCACCAAAGGCAACAAGTTTTTTGATTCCAAGACGGGTCTTGAATTCCGTATGAAAGGAATGGCCTACTACCCCCGTCCCAACAAAGGTAAATGGGCTGAAGTAGGTAACTACGACTGGGCAGCGGACAAGCATAAGGATGTGTGGAAGCCACATCTTGAAATTCTAAAGGATTTGGGTGTAAATACCATCCGTCTGTATTCGGTGGATCCAAGTCTTCCGCACGACGAGTTCATGTGTGCGTGTTCGGAAGCAGGCATTTACGTCTTAGTCGGCATCACTGCTCCGTAAGTATCTCGTAGGACTATGGCAGTTCTAGTTTGTTGGTTTGTTGGTGTCTGATAGTCCTTGCATCAATGTGACAGATGCAAAGACTGCTCGGTACTCGACTACTTGCCACCCAAGTGCTACCCCGACGAACTCCTCACCCGTGCACAAATGGTGTACAACGCGTTTGCCGTGTACGATAATACGCTGGGCTTCAGCGTGGGTAACGAAAACAATCTACAGGTGGAGAACGGAGCCGATGGCACTGCGACAGCTCCTTGTGTCAAGGCTTTCCTGCGTGACACTCGAAGTTATGCTGCGAGTTGTTCCGGGTCTGTACGTCAGGTGCCAATTGGTCTCGACATTGCCGACATTCCTCCTCGCGAGAAATGGATCGGGTACTATGATTGCGCTGTGGATGATGACGAGTACACGCGTGCTGAATGGTAAGCTGTTTGACACGTGATCATACTTTTGAGGCACAGATCACCTCATGTTTTTGCAATTGACAGGATGGGCTTCAACCCGTACGTCGAGTGCGATCCTAAGAACGCGGAGTACTCGCAATCAGCTGGTCTGAAGAAACTGATGAAGGAATACGCTCAGGTTGGCTATTCCCGTCCGCTAATGTTCGGCGAGTTTGGTTGCAACAAAGGTGTGAACACTATCGATGGCTACGAGAGTCAGCGAACGTTCAAAGATGTAAGCTTGCTTGCGTTTGATGTCAACGGCGGGTACAGGTGTTGTTAACCACATTATGTGCTCTGTTTTTTATATTTTTAGGCAAAGTGGATGAACGAGGAGACGGATATGACGAAAGAGATCGTGGGTGGGAATGTGTTCGAGTTCACCACGGAAGTTGCCAATCTGGTTGAGTCCAAGAGTACGAGGCTGATGAGTTTGTTTGGTCGGTTTGGTGAATTGAAACTTACTTTGCCGCTACTTTTTCCTTGTGTGCAGCCTTGAACAAATATGCTGACGCTGGCAAGTACGGCGTTGGATTCTTTCAACCGGCTAATTGCGATAACATTAATGTCGAGTGCATTTTCACGCCGTACCCGGAGTACAAAAATCTCAAGGAAGCATACACAACCACCAAGAACTCGACTCTCAAACACGACAGCTACACGCCTACGCGTAATACAATTTTATCGTGTCCAAAGAAGATGTCGATTAAGTTACCACCGACACCCAAGGGTGAGTTATTGAGTTCTATCATTGAGTGTTCAAGTCTGGTTGAAATATCTTACCGTGTTAATATCCCTTGTGTTGTAACATTGTTGCAGTCCCGATTCTCGAATGCACGAGGGCGCAACCGGTGTGCAATGGCGTGAAGGCCAACAGCTACGAGCATCATGCACCGGCCCCAAAGCGGAAACCGTCGAATGACGAGGTCGGCACTATCTCTGCCACGGAAAAGAGTAGCAATGACGCTAGTACGACTTCTGCGGCTGCGCTTTTGTTGTCTGTGGCAGCGGTTGCTGTCACCGCCATGTCCGTCTTCTAGAGCGTATGACACACCTCTAAACGCCTTTTGTAGCGCACTTAGTTGTTCACAAAGTGGTTAAACTATACATGAAAATTAGTTGTCGGTCGTTTTGTTGAGCCTGTAGTCGACTTCGATCAATACCGCCTGTCCCCATTTCGAGCAAAATTCCACGTAAGAAACCTTCCTGTCAGTGTAATTTCGTCCGTGGAGGTGATAGTCATGAGGTTAAGTTTTCGTGCTCGAAACCTTTGTACTACGGTCACACTATGTGCTGCTGTCGCAATGTCACTTGCTGATGCGTGGCTGCCCCCGATCATCACCAAAGGCAACAAGTTTTTTGATTCCAAGACGGGTCTTGAATTCCGTATGAAAGGAATGGCCTACTACCCCCGTCCCAACAAAGGTAAATGGGCTGAAGTAGGTAACTACGACTGGGCAGCGGACAAGCATAAGGATGTGTGGAAGCCACATCTTGAAATTCTAAAGGATTTGGGTGTAAATACCATCCGTCTGTATTCGGTGGATCCAAGTCTTCCGCACGACGAGTTCATGTGTGCGTGTTCGGAAGCAGGCATTTACGTCTTAGTCGGCATCACTGCTCCGTAAGTATCTCGTAGGACTATGGCAGTTCTAGTTTGTTGGTTTGTTGGTGTCTGATAGTCCTTGCATCAATGTGACAGATGCAAAGACTGCTCGGTACTCGACTACTTGCCAAACCCAAGTGCTACCCCGACGAACTCCTCACCCGTGCACAAATGGTGTACAACGCGTTTGCCGTGTACGATAATACGTTGGGCTTCAGCGTGGGTAACGAAAACAATCTACAGGTGGAGAACGGAGCCGATGGCACTGCGACAGCTCCTTGTGTCAAGGCTTTCCTGCGTGACACTCGAAGTTATGCTGCGAGTTGTTCCGGGTCTGTACGTCAGGTGCCAATTGGTCTCGACATTGCCGACATTCCTCCTCGCGAGAAATGGATCGGGTACTATGATTGCGCTGTGGATGATGACGAGTACACGCGTGCTGAATGGTAAGCTGTTTGACACGTGATCATACTTTTGAGGCACAGATCACCTCATGTTTTTGCAATTGACAGGATGGGCTTCAACCCGTACGTCGAGTGCGATCCTAAGAACGCGGAGTACTCGCAATCAGCTGGTCTGAAGAAACTGATGAAGGAATACGCTCAGGTTGGCTATTCCCGTCCGCTAATGTTCGGCGAGTTTGGTTGCAACAAAGGTGTGAACACTATCGATGGCTACGAGAGTCAGCGAACGTTCAAAGATGTAAGATCAACACACTGGCACACCACTTTGATAGCGGGTGATGTAAGTGTGTCTTTTGTCTTCCTTGTCCAGGCGAAATGGATGAATGAAGAAAAGGAGATGACGGAAGAGATTGTGGGTGGGAATGTGTTCGAGTTCACCACGGAAGTCGCCAATCTGGTGGACAGCGCAGGTATGAAACTCCCAGGCTGATGTTTGAAGTGCAAGGTGTTGATTGTCTAACGCCAATTGTCTGTACCTTGTGGCTCCAGCTTTGACCAAAACAGCAGATGAAGGAAAATACGGCGTCGGATACTTTCAACCGAATGACTGCGACAACAACAAAGTCGAGTGCGTTTTCACCCCGTACCCAGAGTACGAAAATCTCAAGAAAGCGTACACAACCACGGCTGCATCGACGGTGGAGTACGAAAGCTACACTCCTAAACGCGATGGGATTCAAAGTTGCCCAAAGAATGTGTCGATTAAATTGCCGACGACGCCCGAAGGTAAGTGATGGAACATTCAATCGTGTGCGAAAGCGGATATCTTGTGATTGACTGCGCTTTGGCAATATTTGTTACAGTGCCTCTGTTGGAGTGCGCCGTTACGCAGCCCGTGTGCAAGGGCAAAAAAAGCCAACTCGTACGTGCACTTTTCATCGAAAACGAAATTTGGCGACAAGGTGCCACCGACAAATGATGAAAGTAACGGTGCATCTGTCTTGATCTCGTCCGATTCTACGGTTTCAGCTGTCTCGATCACACGGTCGACAAAGTTCCTGCTTTCAGTACTGGCCGCTATCACTCTATTCTCCTTCTCTTAGAGCTTGCGTTGGAACGAAGTCACACGCTTCAAACAACTTTGAACGTAAATGGCTAATAAACTCACTATGAGATTTTAGTAACTTGGGGCAGACATGTCAATTCAAGAGCTGCCAAGTTGGCAATTGCCACGGAATTTGTCTCGTAGTCGTGCCAACTACATCGTGCAGAGAAAAAAAGACCGTAGATGCCTTACAAAATGCCACCGCCGCTTAGTACATTTTGTCTACAAGTTGAAGCTTATCGATCCCCCAGCCAATCTACCGTGCACACTGTCAAACCGACACAATACCGGTATTTGCACTCAGTCTCTGATTACGAACTTCCTTTCTTGGTACAATGTACCATTTTCTATTATCAATTGGCTACACATTCCTTCCCGGCCAATTGTTTTTATTTAGTCCTTTAGAAAAGCTCACTATAATAAGAATGAGTACTTCTTCACCGCTGGAATCACCCGAGACGACGAGTTTCGACCAATTACAAGCACTTCGTAACGTTCAACTCATTTCACGGAACGAGTATCCATTGCGTCATCTTGCACGGGAGAAAGTACGACGACGAGCACGTCAAAACGAAGAATACGAAGACGAAGAAGAGGACGGTGGACGTTGTTTTTGTACGTTTCCCGACGCAATTGAACGCCAGGACGAAGAAACTCGCCGTTGTGATGATGTGTCGTGTCTTAATTTTGCAACATATATCGAGTGTTCGTCCTCGTGTGTTGCCGGTGGGTTTTGTCGGAATCAAAGATTGCAACATCCGGAAGAGTATCCACAATTGGAACCATTTAAAACGGAACATAAAGGTTATGGTGTCCGTACAACCGAAAAAATTGCCCAACGTGGGATTGTGGGTGAATATGTGGGTGAAATCATTGACCCCAAAGAACTGGCCCGACGATTAAAAAGTGTTCCGCGACACGAACTTAATTTTTACTATTTGTTATTGGCTCCTGGTGTTTATATTGATGCACGAACCAAAGGAAGTTTTACAAGATTTGTGAATCATAGTTGTGATCCGAATTGCAAAACGGAAAAATGGATGGTCAAAGGAGAAACGAGGATTGCAGTCATTGCATTACGAGATCTTGACGTCGGAGAGGAACTTACGTTTGATTATCAATGGAAAGCGTTAGGATCGAGACAGATTAAATGTTTCTGTGGCGCAAAAAATTGTAAAGGCGTGATTGGGACACAGAATGAGGTGCTGCCGAATGCAGAGACTCAGACAGGATACTTTCGTGACCCTGAGAGACAGGAAAGTGGACTAGCATTGGTTGGACGACGTGTGCGAGTCTTTCTCTCGCCAGAGGATAAAACGGCGTACGATGTGCAGCTTATCAAGGCTTATGACGACGAGCATGATCGGTATGAAGTTGAGGATTTGCTTGAACCTGCAGGATACGAGACTGATGAAAATGACGCTGAAGAAGAGCTTGATGTAGCGGAGAAACAGTATGTGCAACTCAAGGAGAATGGATGGCAAATTTTCTGTCCCCCTGGGGATAAAGAAGCAGAGGCGATCTTTGCAATTCCAAAAAAACGTTTTGTACCGACTTTGTCGGGGATGTCGAGTGCTGATGGGAGCACAAATCCATCTCCTAAGGGGGAAGCAATACCACAGTCGCTTGTCCGCACTCCGTCACCGGTGGCGATGGCCAGATTGGAGAGCAGCTTCAGTACGAGCAAGAAGAATCAGTTTGGTGAGTTGTTTGACCGCGATGGCAAAGTGGTATCCAACAAGTTGCTGGTGAAGTTTTTGCCGAAAGAGTACGATGCACGTGCCCTGCGTAGCTTGTTTATCAGCCGGAAGCATCCAAATGCACTGGTAAATGCAGACGTGTTTCATTTTCTGGATGGGACGGGCTGGGCACTTGTGGAATTGGAAAATAACGAGCTTGCATCCTCGTTTCGTCGTACCTTGGACCACCGTAATCTACTCGATAACATGTTACGAGTTTATCAAGCCGGCGCCAAAGAGTTAGAGAACTTTCGTCATCAGAAAAGTAAGGTGCAGATGATGCGTCATCAGGGAATGGCGGACAGGAGTGCTACATTGCCTTCAGCAGGGAAGGAAAGCGTGCCCGAGATAAAACGGATAAATCCTTATTGCTTTGGCCGAAAGCTCAATTGGCTTGTTACCGAAGAGCAGCTGAAGAATCTGGCTGTTCAGCAAGTGTTATCGGCGTCACTGGAAGAAACGCTGCGGGTGAAATACGTGAAAAGTATTTTTCACATTGCCAAAGGATTGCGTCTCGACCGAGAGGATGCCACCAGTGCCATAATCGCGCTGAACAGGTACTTCACGTTTCACGCAATGCCTATGGAGGTTGACATCTACGCTGCGACGATGCTACACTTGTTCTTGAAGGCCCACGCTCGAAAAGTGCCATGGACAGCATTTGTGAAAGAAGTGTACAAGGCAAAGCATGGTTCCTCTGCCGTCGAACGCCTTACAGCCGCCTCACCTGAGCTTGGAGTCCTTAAGCGCCGCCTTGTTAAAGCGGAGGGCGAGTTACTCGAAGGGCTGCATTATGACGTAACGGCAGAAGATCCCTACGCGCTGTTGGATCTTCTTACAACACGCAAAGGATCGAAGAAGCTCGTAGCGTTGTCTCAAAGCTACAATGCCCATCAAATGGCCCCGTTTCTTCAATCGATGCCTCCACCTGAAGTGCAAAAAGAAGCTAAGCACTTGGTATCGGAAGTCTTGCCGTTGCCAATTTGGACGCACACCCCAGCAGAGTGCGTTATGCTAAGTGTGCTGTACGTGAGCGCTGCTGTCATCGAAGTGCTGAGCTCCAGTCCATCCTCTCCGATCGTCAAAGTTCCCGCATTTCTGCCACAACTAGACTTGCAATCTAAAGGAGTCGAAGCGCATATGCTGCTGAATTGCTCTTTGTCCATTTGTACGCAGTTGAAAGATCGGTGGGTGCGCTTGCAGAAACAGTCACAGACAGCGCAGCAGAAACAGCCGAAGAATGGCTCAAGTGAGTTTGACCTGGAACAGTTTGCTGTGCCTCGGGAGAAAAAGAATGTGGAGATTTCTGAACAGATAGCTCGACTACTGAGGCAATGGGCTATTGTGTCTACACTGTCCAGCTTACCAACCGGTTCTTCAGTGTTGAGCACAAATGCGGTGTCAGCTGCTGTGTCTTCGCCGGCAACAAGTGCATTTCTAATGACAGCAGGTAAATCTTCGGCTGTGACATCCTCGCTGGGCGGAGAGACGAGTTCGATCACGCCCAAGGCAACGGGAAGCTCAGTGCCAGTTCCCAGCTGGACGACAAGTCAACATATTGATAGTGTGAGCATTGTGTCGGCGTTATCTATCTTCCCGAAGAAAGTTGCAGTTGGCGCAAATGACACAAGAGTCGAGGGTATTCGCTTACACACAGATGAGATTACCAAGGTTGAGTCCATTCGGAAACGAGCTTTTTTGGGAGTGATCTCAAGTAAGGTGAGTCTTGATCTGGCTGGGCGGCCTGTATATCTGCAGTCGTGGCCATACCTTGAGCAGGAGACGTTTTTCACGGAAGAAAGAGGCATTAACGAAGCGTGCCTGCGCGAGCTGTCTGTGGCAACCACCCTTTCATCACTCTTGCCGGATCATTTTATGAAGCTTTATGGAATTATTTTCCCGGCTGATTGCAAGGACCGGCAGACGAACGAATCAGGAGCTACCAGTACCGACGCTGATGATCTAGACTTAATCGCAGCTACAATTGATGAGGATGGTAATCCTTTGCCTGAAGGGATAGACAAGCTGACCCCACAAAAGCACTACTTGGCGTTTGAGCAGCCCTTGCACATGCTCTCGGGTATTTTTGAGGCTCGCGTATCGCTCCCATGGGAGCTGCGTAAGAAAGCCATTTTTGATATGCTGCAAAGTCTCTCTGCTGTCCACGATCAAGGGTATGTCCACCGCTTCGTCGCCCTCTCGCATCTCTTAGTGTTTAAGAATGGTGTCAAACTGGGTGGCTTCCATGCAATGCGCAAGACCGCTAACATTAAGCCAAAGGGTCGTGAAGGTTCTTCCATTGCTGCTTATGAAATGACTGATGGTGAACGTAAAGAACACTGTTACGGCGCGTGGCTGTACATAACTGCGCCTGAAGTACTGCTTGGCGAAACGAAGTATACGTGGCGCTCGGACGTATGGTCGGCAGGTTGTGTGGCTCTTGCTGTTCTCCTTGAGAAGATGTCGTTATTGCAAGGACAGGACCTGAAGGTACAGCTTGACCTGATTTATCGTCTTTGCGGCGCACCGAGTTCATCGTGGGAAAATGCAAACAAACTCCCGCTGTACAATACGTTTCGGCCCAAGCACGAGTACAAGACGCGCCTCCGCAAGACACTAGTCGAACAACAATCTAAAATCCCAGACTTTCCCGAGGATGCGGTCGAAGTGCTTGAGGCAATGCTTCAGTTGGACCCTGCAAGGCGCAGCACGTTGAAAAAGCTCTTAGATATGCGTTACTTTAACAGTGTTCGTAGCGGCGAGCAGACATTCGACTTCGCTGGCCTCTCACCGACGTTCACCGTGCAAAAAAGGAAACTTATGCAGCACTTGCTGAAATCGAAGACCAAGAAGCACCGAAGTGCTGGCAGCACTAGCCGTAGTAGCGCATCGACACGACCTTCGAATCATCACTCCTCTCATAGAGACAGCAGCAGTGACCACCAACGCCACAAGCGATCTGTGTCATCAGCAATCGATGTGTTAGCTCCCGGGGACAGATCTAGTCATCATGACCGACAAAAGATCAGAAGTGGCAAGCGGAAATTGAAATCATCGTCAACTTCACGACGAGGAGTCCTGCATGACGCTGCCTCTTCTGGTGTTGACGAATTGGAGATGCATGATAGCAGCGAGAATGTCCCACTGCCGGCTAGCTTCACTGCTTCTACTGGATCTTCGCGTTCGATGGTTGATGGCGGCAGCTTACCCCCGCGTGAAAAACGTGCAAAACTTGGTTGGGGTATGGGACTCAATTCAGCATCATAACGTAGCAGTAGGGTACTTGCACGAAGCATTTCCAGCAACAAATACAAGGCAATATAGACAACCACAAACTAATTCTGCAACTCGGATGCCAAGAATCTATAAACTATTTGCTAGCAATGCAATGCACTGCCCCGTCTCAGCCACGGATCTCAGCTCACGCAAACAAGTTACCAAAGCCCGTATCGAGACACTTTTCGTACGAGTCGCGGCGTCGAAGCTTCTTCTGGCCTTGTCGGTGACGGCGATACCAGCTCGTCTCCATGGCGTACGTCGTCTTCTTGATCTCAGGTGTTGCTTTGTCGTCTTCTGCTTTCTTTAATCGCACAGCAAGCTCATCGACAATGTCCACCATTTCCTTTTGAGACTTGGCAGCCGCCAGCGCGTCGCGCAACTCCGAGTGCACACGCAAGTCCTGGAATAGCATCTTGAAGAGGTGTGCACGAACAATTTTGTCGCTTGCAGGTGGATACAGCGTAGCGTACTCTAGGTATTGTCTAGCTAGCTGTAAGAACGACGTGTCTTGGCCGGGTTTGTTGTTACTGTCAGCAAATAGCGCCGGATTCTCCAGTAACCCCTCGGAGCTCATGACACCGTCGCAGCCTGTAGCCTCAAGACAACGAGCAATATCCTCATGTGTCTCAAGTCCTCCATTTGCAATCACGGGGATAGTTAACCGTTCTTTTATGCGTCGGATAATATCCCAGTTTACCTCCTGCACGGCCGTCTTGTTCATCTCTTTAGTGCGTCCATGGACTGTCAACAGATCACAACCAGCCTTCTCCAGCATCTCAGCGAATTCCAACGTCTCATTGTCATCATTAAATACCCGAATCTTGACCGTCACTGGAATTGTGAGCCCTCTGCTTAGTGTCTCCACAATGGATTTGACCGTGTTCTTGTCGTGCATAAGAAAAGATCCATAATGTCCCTTTCGAGCAATGCCCTGTGGACAGCCTAAATTCAGATCCACAGCATCGCAATGGCTTTCCACCATCTTGGCTGCCATCAATACGGTCTTTGGGTCATTACCACAGAACTGTTATATGCACATTTTGTCAATAAAATAGGTCCGAATACTCTCTATAAGGACAAAGCACCAACCTGTACGATGAGCGGCCGGTCTTGAATGTGGTGCTCGAGCATTTTCTCCCGGTACTCGACACTCTCAGTGAACAGACGACTATGAAGCATAGGCGTGTAGCAACAGTCGGCTCCAAGTGTCCGACACAGCATCCGGAAGGCCAATTCAGACTGATCGACCTATGGAAAAGTAAAGTACACACATTCTGTCAATATGTTTGTTAGCCACTTCAATTGAGCATTACGATGGCATTACGCGGTAAATTTCAACCGATTTCAATGCAACATGATACAAGATCAACTACTGAAGCTCACCATAGGCGCTACAATCCGTTTTGGCGAGCCAATCGCGCGATAAAAGTCATAACCACGTAGCTTCCCCATGCTCAATTGTTGCTGCTCTTTGGCCATTGAAAGCATAAGTATCATATGATTGGATGAAAAGTTGATCAATCAGCCAATCACAAAGTCTCATCATTGCTCCTGACACTTTGGTACCGCGTTGATGACCTTCATTCTGCATTCCGCACTCTGGCGCGCACTCGAGAGGAAACGTTGCAGTAGGAAGATCGCATTATGGGCGAAAGTGTCACGGCGTTATGGGAAAGCGAGCTGCTTCGTGCGCGCCAGTGGCTCGTAGCTAGTCGCAAGGACAAGCAACAGGAGAAAGAGCAGCTCTTTCAGCGCGTGAAGATGCACATGGGCTTTAAGGACCACCAACGTTCGTTACAGAGCGCGGAAGTCGTCAGTGAGGACGAAAATGACATGGCGCTGGACTTTTTGGGCGATGTAGACATGTCAGATATGGACGCGCTGCTACAGGCCGAAGCAGCGAAGGCAGCAGCGGTAGTGGAGACGACAGAGACCTCTTTATCGAGTACAAGGGATTTAATGACGCCTCTGGAGATGCCGATCGACTTGGTAGCGCCTAAATTAAAGCTTCAACCTGTAGCTATGTCAGAGTTGGATCCGAAGCAAAATATTGCTGGTGTGACGTTGGGAAATGAGGCAGGAGTTCACGAACTAATGCAAGAATTGGCATTAGATGTATCGCAATTGAAGCAAATAGAGATTGAAGAATGCAAGACGGAAGAGAGTACACCACCTCATATATTGAAGAACTTTGGCGGGAAGAACAAGACACCAAGTGATGAGACAGAGCAGTTTAATTATATGCGGGAAATCTCGACGAAAAGTCCACAAGCTCCACATAAAAAGAAAGCAGAGACAAGTGTTACAATGCAACAAGATGATGTTGTAGAAGAAATGTTGAGTTGGGTGTCAGGTTACCGTGATCCAGAGGTTATTCGACGCAAGGAAAATATACAACGGAAACGAAAACATACTTCTCGGTATGGAGTAGCATCGGAGGAAGAACGTCGTCGGGTTTTGCTGCAGGTGAAGAAGATTACACACGATAGCAAAGATGACAGTGATAGTGATAGTGACAACAGCATGAGCAGCGGCTATTCGCCAGCAGAGGATGACGAGATGTCTGAGCTAGACGAGAACGAAGTGGTTGATCTTCTTAGCGATGATTGCCTAAATAGTGAGGAGGAGAGACAGTCCGTGAAGCAAAAGAGGAAACGACTGCGTCAGACGGATGGTACACCAAAGAAAAAGAAATCGCGTTCACGAAAACCAACCGTCACGCGCAAACTGACGCAGCAGAGTTGTACTGTTCAAGATACAGACAATGTACAAGTAACCAGTTCTACCGAAAGCGAAGCGAAGCATGTTTTAGCTACCGCATTTGTAGAAGCAGACTCAACAAGCATGTCAGGCCGACCGGTTGAGCTTCTGTCCAGTGAAGGGGCAAGAGAGGCAAATGGCAAGGAAAACATCATAAAAGTGGGTGAGCGCAAATCGACGAACAGCCATGGTGCTGATGGTATCAGCAGCAAAGCACCAGAGCTGAAAAAAAGATGGAATTGACCGTTTTGCGAGATCGTCTCCAGAAAGAATTTGATGTAGGCAAAGTGCAGCAAAAGCGTGGTCCAGAAAGCGAAGTGAACATGGCAGCTCCATTACTTGCAGACAGCGAAGCTGTAAGTGGAGATACAGCTCGTGAGTCGGTTTCCTTTGATAGTATCGCTCTTGAACCAAATGTAACAGCTGGTAGTCCGACAGCCAACGAAATGGCAGACACTGACGATGCCGATTTATCGGATACGGGGACAACTCATTTGGAGAACGAACAATTGCCATGTCAAAATGAACATTTTCACGAAGAAGGTACTGCTTCTACGACCAAAGCGGCGGTTGATAGCGATATTACTACAACATTGGAGAATGCAAAGAGAGTAGACAGACGTCCTGATGGCGATTTGGAGCAAGTAGAATCGGACGACGAGGATATTTCGGAGGCCGAGACAGAAATACTGGAAGATGATGAACCAAATACGGACGATCTTGGACTTCATTACAGTGATGACAGCGATATCGGAAGTAGCAAACAAGCGAATGAAAAGAATGATTTAGTGGATGCCCTGAGGAATGTTTCAGGCAGCGTGAAAGGTGGTACAGAATTTGAGACGAACCCACCACACAAGAGACACAACTGCGCTGACTCCAAGCAAAAATTGTCAAAAAATCAGAAAGAGGATAATGCATCTGCGCTGACAGCCGGAGTGCAGCAATTTTTTGATTTTGTACCGCTTAAATTGAAGCCCAAGGTCAAGATAGTAAGCTCCACGGCCCCAAAGCCGTTGCCATTGCACAGTTATACCCTGACTCATCCCAAAGTAGGAAACAGTAATGCCGAGGATGCCTTTGTCCAATCTAAGAAGACTCAAATATTGCCGACGACGCCATCAATTGGATCTAACGGGCTCCGTCCGATGAAAAGACCTATTGCAACGTCAACGACAAGAAAGGGTAAGTATCTGGTAACAAGGCGCTGTACTAAAATGCTGGATGATGGTTCTAAAATCCAGAGACAACCGAATAGCCAATACACAATGGTATACACGAAAAATTCCAAAAGCAGCGACACAAATGATCTCGATGATGAACCGCTGGCCATTCTAGCGAAAGAATTGTCGAATAATTCAGAAGACACACCACAAGCTAGGTATCTGTCGTATGCGGGAGCTAGAAAAACTGAGGAGCCCCCCAGTTATGTTGCAAATACGCCCCGCATTATCTCAAATTCTCGCTTCGGTGGGGGTGGAGGGCTCCACTTCAGTTCTTCGACAATACCAAACTTTGCAGCGACGTCAATCGACCGGCATTTGCAACTACCCGATAAAGATGTTTCTACAGGCGGATACAGGCGAGAGCCTCAGATCAGCATTTATGACGCACTGCACATGGATAAAGAAGAGAGTACTATCGAAATTGGCAAAGTGAACGGCTACAAACGATCCAGTCGTTTCAAGAAAATGCAGGAGGAAGCAGTCCGGAACGGCACTCCCATGGTTAAAAGCCAGTTGCAGGATAAAGATTGGGACAAGATGCCAATTCCAAAGAAAAAGAAGCAAACGCATCAAGCGGATGAGGACGAGCTATTACAGCCTTCAAAGGCGAGTGACGTTGGCGGTAAATCGCGAAATAAGCGTCGCAAGAAGACTTCTGTTTCACCGATCAAAAAGTCGGGATCGAGCTACCATGGACCACAAGCCTCTCAGGTTGTGACATCACGTAAGCATGACTCGTCTTTGCGAGGGCATCGTGACCGGGAACGCAGCAATTGCAGGCGTGAAGATGATCGTAAGAAAAAGCGATCACCATCGCTGCCGTCTAGAGGTCGGGATCATTACGATAAAAAATATAGAGTACGTGATGATCGCAGGCGAAAAGGTTCATCGCGCTCAAGGTCTCGCTCACTAAGTCCTTGCCGCCGGGATTATAGCAAGATTCGCAAGCGCTACCGTTCACGTTCAAGATCATGGTCGCGGGAGAAGTCGAGTGAGCGTGACCATCGCCGTTCCGACCGGACGGTGTCAATCAGCCACGATCGTGATCGTCATCTAGAAAAACATGGCAAGAGACGATCGCTTTCTCCAGAAAAATGCGCTTCGAGCAAAAAGAAGACGCTAGGTGAGCCGCCAAAGCTGGATGAAGTTTGCGAAAATGATAAAACTGGAGACATTGGTAGGTCTGGCAAGAAGCAGAAGTTTTCTCATTCTACGGTAGCACCACCTTCACCAGGCACTTCGGCTACGTTTGATGACGAGGGTGACAACATGTTCATCTCAGACTCGGATGATGACGAAAACGCTTTGATAAAGGAAATGGAAGACATTCGTTTCGACCTGGATAGTATTCCAATTGATGAAGCTCTGATGACGAGGCAGGTGTATGTCACGGGGTTGAACCCTACTGTGTGCGCTGAACAAATCGAGGAGGACTTTGCACGCTTTGGTGTTGGGGTAAGTTTGTGGTGTCTTGTACTATTCTCGATGCGAGAAAGTGGCTGATGTGTGGTTATGTCTCGGGTACTAATTGGCTCTGAATGTAAAGGTTGATCGAGAGACTGGGTTTCCATCCATCGAGGTCTTTGCATGCCAACGCAACTATCTTGGGCGTGGTGATGCACGCGTGACTTTTAAAACTGAGGAAGGAGCGCAAGAGGCAGTAGAGGAGCTTGATTGTAAGCTGTCGGCTCTTTTGTTATTGGGATGGAATGCCAATGACTCACGTGTGTAATCATGTTCTTTGTTGCACAGCAAAAAATGTGAAGAATTCGATGATTCACGTGCGACGAATGGATGTTCATACCCAGCGCATACTGACAACGCAGTTTCAAGCGGTACGAGATACGTGGAAATGTACCAAAACGCACTGCCGTGCCGACGTGAGTGTGTGGAATGCAAAGTGCGACAAGTGCGGGCGGAAGCGTGTATATGGACCGAGTAACATCAAGATTGGAGCTGAATCCTGGTTGTGCTCGCTGTGAGTGCCACCATGTGATATTATGCTCCGCGATTATTTACTGACTGCTTTTCATTATTGTGCGTACAGTTGTTTCACATCAAATGAATCATTTGCTACGAGTTGCTGCGGCTGCATGGAGGCATTGCCTGAAATTGACCGCTCGACCTTCTACACGTCCTGATCTTAATCAAGTCCATCAGGCACACGTACACATCACACAAGATCGGTACCACATACTCAAGGAATTGAGGTGTAAAATGAAAAAAAGGTGACGTAAGCGAAAGGAAGACGAGTGCAGCTAGATGTCCATCTGTGTGGGTGCGTGTCTTTGGTGTGAAATGACAGGGTAACAGCTTGTACGTGTAGATGATATGGAGCTGACGTTGCTATCGACAGCAGAATTTGTTTATTTTTGAATGCAACTGCAGCGACTATGTGAGCAGCTATTGGAAACCTTCAGTGCAATTTCTTGACCTTGCTAACATCTGGAAGGATACCGTCTTAGAGATGCCGGGCTACAATGCAGTTGCATTATATACTGTCGACGCTCTTCTGGAAAGAATGAAACAACTAAACTTTACCGTTTTTTATTAATCCTACAGTACTCGTAAACTAATTCAAGTGTATCATCATATCTAAAAAAGCTCCAAGCAGTCAGCAAATAGCTCTCGACACTTGAAGAAACAAAAACACTTGGAGAAGCACAGCACACCCCACCAGTTGAATCTATCGTCACCCTCCACCTCCTCTCTCTCTTTTTCCTTACTCTCCTCATAAATTTCGCCATGTCTATCGCCCCTGAAGGTGCTAATCCCAACAACAAAACATTTCTCCTTTTGTTTCTCCCTAAATCTTACTCTTTTTTCTCTATTATTTTTACAGCAACCGTGACTGCCATGAAGGACGTTCCAACCACAAGCGGGAGCTTCAGTGGCAGTGACAAGGGACTGCCACCCCGTAAAGAGCGCAGCAAGTCGCGCGACGCCGGTAAACGCATGGGCGGTGGTCAGAAAGCGTCCTGGAAGCTCGCAGAGATTCCACGTGCTGTACCGTTGGATACAAATGATCCAAATTATGACAGTGAAGCAGATGATAATGTCGTGCTTGTATCTACAGTAATTGATTCACCGAAGAAGTCAACACCGACGCTCGAGCCGGACGAGTTGGCAGCCAAAGAGCTTGCAATTAATGCACCTCCTGAGATCAAGAAACGAACAATTGAGATTTTGGAGGAATATTTTATCAATGGAGATGCTGAGGAGGTCTTGAGTTCACTGAATGAGCTGGATGAACCGGAATTCCACTATGAAATGGTGAAGCGTGTGATTACGATGGCAATGGACAAGAATGACAAGGAGCGGGAACTAGCATCACGACTGCTATCGACGTTGTATATGGATGGACTCACATCTGGACAAGTGCTTATGGGCTTTCGTCGTTTGCTGTTACTGGCAGGCGACTTGCAGATTGATATTCCTACGGCCAAGAACATGCTGGCTATCTTTTGTGCCCGTGCAGTGGTAGATGAGATCCTGCCGCCTAGCTTCTTGGAGGACCCTTTTACCACACGATACGCTCCCGAGATTGCGGCTGAGGCTATTAAGAAGCTGAGCATTAATCATGCGACTGCACGGATGGAGAAGGCTTGGGGACCTGGTGATGGCCGTCCCGTCGAAGAGCTAAAGGTAGCTATTGATCAGCTGACCAAAGAATACCTGTTGTCGCGTGACCTTGAGGAGGCTGCGCGCTGCGTTCGTGAGCTGAATGTGCCGCACTTTCACCACGAGGTAGTCAAGCGTGGCATCACCAACTCGCTCGAGGAAGGCGGTGGGGCCAACAGTGCAGCCATGGCATCGCTATTGGCGTATTTGGTCTCTCATGAATTGGTGTCGACAGGCCAGCTTATCAAGGGCTTTAAGCGCTTCAAACTCGTTCTGTACGACGTCGCGCTGGATATTCCGAACGCGGCTGTGCTGTTCCAAGACATCGTGGCACGTGGCATTAGCGACGGAATCCTCCCCAAGGACTTTGACGCTAGCGCAGTCAAGAAGGAGTAAGTTGGAAGTGATGCGCACGCCAAAAGTGGCACAACGTCACGGCCAAACGGACAAGCAGTAGGCAAAGAAGAGAGCGCGGACAGTGTGGGAGGAAGAGCATGAAGCGCGTGGCAGACGCGTTCTTGAAGTCGGTACGTCTTCATCTTCACACACATAATACACGACTCATGTTCTACAATGAACGGTGACAAATACAGTACATGAAGCTAACTGTGTGTAGAACGAGACCTACGAGCAGCACGGATCAGCCGACACGGGCACCTTGGCCGTGTCCTTACCAAAGACAAAAAAGCCGGTCATGGAGCCGACTACAATAATCGTAATCAGCGTCAGGTCGTACGTCATGACCACCAGCATAAGCAGATAAGCCAGCAGAATCCGCACACCACGCATCATGGCATCAACCAGATGCGTCCACTTGTCAACCTTTACAGATATCGGGTACACTCGCTCCATTGTAACACGCGTCGTCGTCTTTGTGTCCAGCACTTCCGGTCGTTCTGGATGCACCACCGACTCTTCATTTTGAGGTTTTCGGCCTCTGTCACTCAGCTCCGGGTCGTAAAAAGGTAAGCCATTGCTGCTAATAGTCTCTCGTGTCCTTGTCCTTGCCAGTCGACGCTTTGCAAACACTTTTGACTGCTGTAATTGACAACCAGCAGCTGTTGTCAAGTACTGATACAGCACAGACAGTAGAAATACTACAAGACACGCCAGTACTACACGGGAAAAGCTCGTGAGTCTCCAACTCTCCAGCCACAAAACAGAACAATCATCCATCGGATCACTTCCGACCCATTTAAACCCATTCGTGCCCATGACTGAACCAGGACCGATACAAAACCCATTTTGCTCCATTATTGTTTAACAATAAATGAAGTCTCGAGTTAGCAATAATGGTAATCATACACCTGATTAAATTTGTCAATAATTAAGCAATTGTTGAAGTGGCAGCCGTAAAAATATTCATTTATACAGGATGTAGCCACATCTGTACGACCATTTCCCTGTCATTTTCGTTCATCATCTTCATCGGGTTCTATTCCACGACTATCCCGACGACAATTTCCTGCAATACTCAGACGACCACTTGTGTCCTCGCTTCCACTCGCTGCAGCTTACTACTATCCATATAACATCATGCGAATGAATTGCCATCTTGTTTCACTTTTTGTCGTGTTTTTTGGGGCTATTTTTGTCTGTAACGGCGCGCTAGAGCCCATAAATGCAATGAAATTGAACGATCTGCCGGTATATCGCTATTTTTCTTGTTCTTTGTCAATAGAATTCCACTATTAATTTGTTCCTTGTATGTCCTATAGGAAGACCCAGTCAATGGTCAAATGGTGATGTCTAAAGCGCATACTTTTGAGCTCAAGAATGGTCAGAAACTGCAATTTGCCAGTCAAAAGACACTTGAAGCGTTCCTCAAGGACCCAGTACGGCTTCAATACATTACTTTGACTAGTACTTTACAGTCGTTTTCAATGGCTAATGGACATGTCATTTTTTCTTACAGAAACTGGGCTTGAAAGGCGTGATGTCACTTCTAGCGACATCTGATCACCATGACCAACAACAAGACAGTGTTCTATGCCCAGTGTGTGGGATGGAGTCGTCGATTTCTAGTGAACCACACGTAGTGATGAAGCATGGAGATCAGGCAGTGCATACATGCAGTATCACACATGCACGTGAAGTGTACACAGATATTTTATCTTTCCAGTCAAGGAAGGAAGGTGTTCCTGTTAAGAAGACGCAAGGATTTTGCTCTGGATCTGGTACGACTATGCTCAATGGGTTTTCAGTCACTGATAACTCGACGCCGTGTGTCATGCTGTGGTTCCGTGGATGGGTGCTGGATACGCGTGTGCGCTACATTTTTGGAGGAATTCTTGTGGCACTTGTGGCGATTTTCAACGAGTACTTGCTGGGTTTACGCCGTGTCCTGTGTAAGGAGAGCAGCGTCATGCGCCTGCTGAGCAGCAATGCACCACGTACTACGGAGAACGACCATTTGCTGCGGCCGTCACCGCAGCAGATGCCCCTCGTTGATTCGTGTGGACCTATTTGGTTCCGCAAACTGTCACATGAGACGCAACACGGTGTTCACGCCTTGCTGCACGGTGTGACGCTCTTTGTCGCCTACATGCTCATGCTGGTGTCCATGACGTATGACTTCACGCTGTTGCTCTGGGTCGTTGGAGGCTATGTGGTGGGACACTACATTTTTGGCGAGCGCCGAGAGGCTCCTCTTTGCAGCGGAGAGATGGAGTCCACTTTTCCATGAGTTTCGTGTTTCGATTATCATTCATGTTGCCAACTAAGTGTAGTACGTCTTGCTGCTACGATCGTAGTGTCAGGATTGTGATCTGGATGGGGTAGAGCGTGAACTCGCACATTGTGTTTTTGTTGTCGCAATCGTCCGGCTAAAAGTAGCCAATACCGTACTTGGCATTGTTTGCTTCCATTCGTCAGCTCTATTGTCAGCAGTATCGCACAGAACAGAGATCACTTGATACGGCATCTTGATGGACAATTATACTATTACTTGCTCATCGTCATCTGGCTTGTATTCAATGCAGAAACCAATACTTCGTCGCGGTTTGCATATCATTTCAATGTATTAATCCTAGTTCATTTCTTCGAAACTAGGTGTTTAGATGTCAGATATCCTTCAACGGACTCTCAAGCTGCTTAATTCGTTGCAAGCTCATCTATTCGTGTTTCTTGAGGGCTCTTGTCTAGGCTCTATCTTGAGTCCATTCAAGTAGAGAGACGAGCGCTGTTCGGGTGGGAGACACACGGCACCGTTGGGGAATTTCACGACATAAGCCTCAAGAGCCGTGTCTACACGCTCAGCTTCTGCTTCACTGACCTTTACAATAGCAGTGATGCCGTCGATAACAGCATATTCAGTTGCGTACAGGAAGTTGCTCAGCGCCATGACAAACTCGTCAGTGTCCTTGATCTCGCCGGAATTGGTCGGGTGGTTGAGCCATGTCAAGCTCGAGACGGTGCCAACATCGATGCCAGTGCACGCAAAAGTATAGTTGAAGCCCGATGGGTGGACGTAGAATCCGTTCTCTTTGATAACACTGTCACCGCAGCTTCCGACCATTTCGCGGTTCAGAAACTGTTTGAGCGACGCGCCGTTTGTCTTAATGGTCATCAGAGTGTTGCCGAACGGCGACCAAGACAAGACTTCACCTTGGGACAGACTACCGGCAGCGACGACCTTATCACCACGAATCCCACCACCGTTCATGACTGCAATATCAACTGAACTGCTACCGTAGTACTGCAGACTTGCATCAGCAAAGAGGTGGCCGATCTTGCTGTCCTGAGTACGGACCATACTTTGTCGAAGGTCCATGTTCTCGCACAAGCTGCCGATAATCTGTTTTCCTAAAGCATCCATCTCTTCTTGATACGTGGCAATAACGGCATCTAAGTTGCTGTCCGTTGGCATGCTCTCGACAATCGGAATAGCCTCGTGGGTCATGAGAGCTTTGCGGTTGTTGACAGTGTCAGCGGCGTAATATTCAATGTGCGTCTTCCAGATTGAACGAAAGTCAAAGTCTGCTTTGACGTACGGCGTACCATAATTGGTCTGCAGTGTCGAAGTGTGGTCATGGCCACCGATAATAAAGTCGATACCCGACACCTCCTTCGATAGTCGATTGTCATCAGCCATAAGTTGATGCGTTAGTGCAATGATCATATCAACCTTCTGGGCCTGAAGGAGAGCCACCTGGTCCCGAGCAGCCTGAATCGGATCCACCCAATACAGACCCTTGTTTGTGCTGTTCATGTCGTACATGACACCAAAGATACCAACAGAGATATGTCCGTTCGTGGCGTCTGTCAGAGTCCTGATAGCATTAGGTACCGTGCCACGAAGCAATTTACGGGTGGCAATTTCATAGCAATTGGCATTCAACCACGAAAAATTGGACGCCAAGGTCACGTTCATGAAGTTATCGAGTCCAAAGTCAAACTCATGGTTCCCCAAGGACGCATAGTCCAGCCCAATGGCATTGTGCGCTTTCACCATGTGCTGGCCATTAAACTCCGTCGACCAAAGAGACGGTGAAACCGTGTCCCCGGCAAACAGTACAAGGCTATTGGGGTTCATTTCACGCATGGCTTTAGCTATCGGAACCACCCGCGAGGGCCCCCCAAGCTTTAGACCGTCGACAGTATCCTGTAACATCTCGTAGACGTCGTTATACGACAAAATGTCGAGATTGGCGGTCAAGGTACGAGATTGAGCACCATTGATAGAGACGATGATGCCTCCAAGGACAAAGACTAGAGACTTGGAGAGCTGTACCATTTCAAAGGAGGTCTCTACTAATGTTTGAACAGTCGTGGGAGGTCGCAGATTAGAAAATGTCGTTCAGTATCGACATTGTAAGGATAGACCTGATCCAATGGAGAGACGTATATACTTGGACGAAGGACTACCTACGAACGCAGGCATGCAGACACCGAAACGTATGGTATTTATAGGCCTGCTGCTGTACAAGAAGTTGTTTCAAAGGATAGTCGTTCCGACGACAATGACTTGGGTTTGTGGCTCAGCATGTGCCCAGTGTTGCAATTGAATGTCGGATACCTTGCAGTCGAATGCCAACACAATGGAAGTAGTGAGTACGTATTGATGGAAGATACAAACGTACCAAAAAGGATATCGAACTTGACTAAGAAAAGGATGCAAGAACTGAACCTGGTGACGATGTTGATGTGTAACGCATTTGTCGTCATTCGTGGGATTCCAAATACTATAAGCTGCTGTTTCCAAGTAACCGTAGACGTTTTCTACAGTTGCTAGCGGGTACCTTGTAAACATGGTGCAGCAATCGATGTACGTCTCTGTACTAAGACGATCTTCTACTGTGCTTCTAGGTAAGCATGACTACATGGACTCTACTGTATAATGAACAAACACGTTAAAGCGCGTTGGAAAGACCAAACACGCATCCTCATTCAGTCTTTCGACACTACAACTAAACTTTTACCATGCGCTACATATAACGACGACGAAGTATCATCATTTACGCATGAATGAACCCTCTTCGATCCATCAATAACTGACAATATTTGTGCTCCCAAATGTTTGTAGAATAGTGAACAAACAGAGAAGTCATCCCCATATTCAGCACGTTAAGTAGAATGTACATTCCGACCACAGACCGTTCATTGTGTTGCGGCTGTTGAAGTAAGTCACTCTATTGACGCTCAATACACGTTACACCATCAAGCCAGTCATATTGAAACGACTATAAACGATGTCCAAATCAATGAAATGAATATGACTAGTTGGGCATGTGTTAGAGTCTGACAACTATCGGCTATCTATCAGCTGACTTACTTTAGATCAAGTGAGTAGAACTTCTTCTGGTGCATCATTCAGATCACATCATAGCAACTTTGCTTCCTTGCAAATTACCAAGACAGTACGCGGAAAAAAGACACAGGTGAAGTAGATGCCGCAGAGATTGCTGTCGGTATTAGTTGCGTGCCCCAGATTTGACGACGGGATGACTGAAATAAAGCTGCAGTAATGGCAAGTGACGTGCGTTTATTAACTTGATGACTGAGGACACGCTGTCACACCGTGTACACGAGGATACAAGAGGAGATTTTTGGAGACAGTACACGTAAAAAGATACTTGCGCAAGAACATTGTTGGATAGCCTGCTTATTCAGCTTTTTGTATGATGGTTGAGGATATGACGACAAGGCTTGGAGTTAGGGAGCTAAGAAACATATACGCTCCCTAGTTCGACTGGCGTTCGGCACTGGTAGCAGCTCTATGTATTCAGTTAAGTCGAGATCTGATGCCGTTGAAAGAGGTGAGGTGGACCTCATCCGTTGACTCTTCCAAGCTTGAAAAGCAAGTAGCATCTTAGCAATTTTTTGTCAGGAGCTGAGAAGCTACGAACGGTATCATTGATTAAACAGTGACTCAAAAAAGGTGACCTATAATGGGAGGAATCGGAGGGCGTCTATCAAAGCCGCTCCGTCCGCCAAGTTCGTTTGCCATACGTCGATACTAAACATACCACATGCAGTGCCTCGTGTAAACGCAAGGACTAGTTGCTTCATTGAATAAAAGATGAGACATGCAGCTTTTGAGAAGTGCTGGACCAGCCGCTTTCTGAGTCTATGGAGAAGGTGTGCAGAGGGAAAGATAAGCTGGGGTGCATGCCAATCCTCGGGTGGCGCAAAAAGAGCCAAATTGCGATGAAGAGAGAGAGAAGCAGACGAGTCTATTTAATCTTTAGAGGTTGCAGGATGTCCGGTGGATCCTAAAACCGATTGGCAACGTCGGTTCCTCGATCGAGCCAGGTGGTTGTACGGGTCGTGTCGCCTGCGGTGACGGCTCTCGGGTTTGTCTGGCTATGCCATATGCGTTTCCACACGGCGGCGTATGCGGGCGTCTGGGTGGTATCTGGTGAGCTGTCTCTGGGTCATCTTGGATAGTCCTGGCGCGCGTCTGCTTGCATTGTTTGCAAGGAAGCTTTGGATCCATCCAAGCTCCCATCGCTCTCCTGTCCAGCGGCAGATGAGCTTCTGCCAGCAGGCTTGTGCGTACAGGCATGTCCAGCAGATGTGTTACAGTATTTCATTCGCTCCTTGGCAGCATTCAAGCTTACGGCAACTGTCATCTTGCTCTCGGTCTGGATAAAAATTAATTTAGTTGCCTCACTAGCGACCCAAGAGCTTAGTACGCAGTGAGCTTGTTTCGATGAGCCCAGAGATTGGTTGGCGTCTGTTGTAAAGCTGCTGTTTGCCATATACTTGAGTCCTGGAGCGTCTCCAGCGTTTGTGTCAGCGTACTATCGAAACCTTTATACCGACAAACGGTAATTTCTTCAGGGCCAATTGTAACGGGGTTACACGACGGTTGTAACGTCTTTCCGAGAGTTTACGCTTAAACTCTCCTTTGTATTGCATATAATGCATTATTATACTTCTCGTTAGAGAGGTATTAAGTATGAGCGTTATAATACGGTATTCGGTAATACCGTATCTTATCGATTGGGATTCGATAAATCACTAACGCTGTATTAAGTACATCATACACAGATGTTTAGACGATACGTCGTCCAATAGCAAAGTCTGCATATAATAATTACTATAATAGTAATTAATCTAGTGTAGTGTACTTAAAGTAGGACTATTCATAATATCTTAAAGCATAAATAAAATCAGTTCTCCTTTTGAGTTTAAGATCGCAAGTCGTTCTGACTTGTTCTCTTGTGCACTTCGTGCGTTGGTTCTCTGAACCCCTAAGCTTCTAGCTTGTTCTTGCACTCTGTGCGTTGGTTCTCTGAACCTTAAGCATATTGCTTGATTGATTAAAAGTCTCTTTCCTAGTTCCTTAGAACAGGGTGACTTTAAGTCGTTTAATTAGTTCCTCAGAACTAAGTGGCTTTTAGCCTTCACTCTATTTAGTTCTCTAGAACTAAGAGGCTTCCAGCCGAAAGTCTTCCTCTGGCTAAAGAGCTGTGTAGCTCCATTACACTTGGTAGCACTAGTAGTCAATCCTACACCTGAGTCTTTAAAGACTGACCCTCTGTGAGAATGGAGAATCAAAATCACCTCTCTGAGGCACAGCGACTCGCCTTAGATAAACTATCGGCGTTCGTCGGGCCCGATCAAATCGAGGCCCTTTTGGCCCAAGGCCCCGAGGTTCTAAATGCTCGTCTTGAGGCCTTTATGCGTTATGAGGCAACGCTCCTCGGGCAGGTCCATGACCAGGCAGCGTCAGCCGCGCCTATACAGTACATTCCGGTACCTGTGACCGATGCAGAGCCAAAGGCTCGTCCACTTGTTTTAAGTGTCAAGACCTTCGAGGGGAAGGAGGGAGAGAACCTTCTCCTCTGGATCCGAGAAGTTGAAATGGCAATGGATGCCGCCATGCTTGTATCCGATAAGCAACGAGTTGGCTTGGCCATTTCTAAGCTCGGTGGAAGAGCTAGAGAGTGGGCTCTAACGAGCGGTGTCTCTGTAAATGCTGCATTTCCCACATGGGAGATGCTTAAAAAGCAATTAACTTGTGTGTTTGCACCGCCTAATCAGGCTTATCGTGTGCGCTCACGCTTCCTAGCTACCCGACAGGGTAAGAAGGAATTGTCTGACTATGTCCAAGAGTTAAGAACTCTCATTGCTGCTATGCAGCAGGACCCACTGGCAGAGGAAGTCCGAGTAACCATTTTTATGGAGGGACTTCGCACTGGGGTCGCCAGGACGGAAGTTTTCCGTGTCCAGCCTTCAACTTTTGAGGAGGCAGTAAGCGTAGCATTTAACGCTGAACTCAATTTTAAATCTGCTCGATATGGTCTGCCCTGGTATCAATCAAATACCTCTAATAGGGCGGAACCCATGGACCTCAGCCATGCTGAAGAAGCTGAGCTTCAAGCTGCTGAGCAGCAAGGTAGCATCCGTAGATGTTACATGTGCGGAAGCACTAGGCATCTCCGCCCTAACTGTCCGTTGCGAAAGCAACGTTCAAATCGGCAAAGCCGAAGCCCTGCTCCTAGCCAAAAGGCGAGCACCGCAGGGGAAAATGTCGACTCCCAGTAGGCGCGGGGCTCCCTGCTGGGAAAGAACTAAGTTCTGTTGAACCTCTAGGAGGTAGAGGTAAACAGGGCTTAGCCCCAGGTGGTTCTGTGGATGCTCCCATAGAACAAGATTACAAGCCAGGCTTGTTGGTTGTGTCGACAACCGTTAAGGGTTTTGAGAAACCATGGTCAATTTTAATTGACTCAGGGGCGTCAGGGAATTATGTCCGACGTCGTTCCCTTGAAGGGAGTCAGATGTATGCTGAGACGCTAGCAGCGCAAGATGGTGACAGTATACTGTAACAGTGCGCCTCGCAACAGGTGTACGTGTCACCGTTGTTAGAGTTCTGTTGAACTTAAGTGTGAAGCTTTTAGACTCCAACAGCGCTGTCTTGTCCTAGATTTGGACTTAAGATATGATCTCATTCTCGTTATGGCCTGGCTAGAACGCCATGGGCCATGGATCGATTGGAGATCCAAAACCTTAGGCGCAACGCGCAATGTTCCTAGCGAAGCTTTGGAGAGTCATGAACCCACCTTCGCTAGGAAACAAAAGTGCTATTGGCGCGAGCCATTAACTGATTCAGTTAGTGTGCTGGACATTGGAGTGTCTGAGTTGATAAACTCCGATGTCAACAATAATAGTGTCGAGCAGAGCTCAATGACACTTAGTGGAACGGCACGTACTCCGTTAAGTGATACTCATAGTAATATTGGCTGTCAATGCGATTTACTGGATGTCGGTAATGACATCGGCTCTCGT